TACATTTATTCCTGTTTTGATAGTCATAATTTCTCACTAAAGTTGCCATAGTAAACCGGTTCCCAACGTAAGAAACGTCAACACTTTCTTTAACGTCTGCGATTAGCATCGTGACGATTTTCTTTTTCGTACACTTTTTCTATCAACAAAACCTCATTTTTTACATTTTAACGACTGACTTTCTAACGATAAAACAGCCCTAAACTTTTTTCAACTTCTCTATAACCCAGAGATTCACATTAGTCCATTAAATTGTCAAATTAAGGTTAACTTATCGAATAACCAACCAACTTCTTACAGCTACTGAAGTGACTATTTCAGCATGCAAATAGCTATCCTTTTGGCTGCCTACTTCTACACGACATCGTCTCTGCCGACGAAGACGACGACAACGACAAGGAAGCCTTCTGATCCCGCTTCAGACGAATATGAAGATGATGGAGAAAGCTGGGAGTGCGGTACTGATGATTTGACCAAGTATTTAAGCGAAAATCAAATTGATTTGGATTGTCCAAGTATCAAAAGTAAGTTATAACTAGTTATTTCTCAAAATGTAGTTCTACCAGTTTTTATGAAATACTTTATTTTCATATCCGCTCTGATTTTTTGAGATATATGTCCCGGAAAAATTATTGTTTTGAAAATCTTCAGGTAAATTGAACCAAAAAATAGCTTTGATAATTGCAGCAGTATATCACATTCCGTAAAGATAGTGAATCAGAGTAACATAACTGCCCCTCCATCTTTAACCACAGATATGTGCTGCTTCTTATTTTCTTTTTTTTTCCCAAAATTTCCATTTGTCTCTCTTTTTAATTTTTTTATCTTGCTTAGTGTTCTGCGTCTTTGCTCATGCCGTGTGTATTGTCTGCAAATCTTCATTAAGCACTCTCTATCATCTGTACTCTGCTTCTCTAATAGATAAATTGACAATAATTCGCAAATTTGGAGGACTTTTGTGTTATTCTTGTTAAAAATTAGAGTATCAGTTTTCTATATCATAGTTAAAACTTCCATAATAATCGATAAACTTCATGTTTTTAGAAAATGTAAATCAATGCTGTGTTGTGCACGACAAATGCTATGACGATCAATTAGGTAGAAAATATTGCGATGACACATTTTGCTCTTGTCTAGAGGTTAAGCTACAGTACTTTTTGGTCTACTGTATATCCTAC